GTTAGTGTCAGGTTAGCGTTAGTTAGTGTTGTGTTAGGTTGCAGTGTTGGGTTGTGTTAGTGTTAAGTGTTGGGTGTTAGTGTGTTGGGTTAGTGTTAGTGTGTTGGGGTTAGTGTTGGGTTGGGTTAGTGTTGGGTTGGTGTTGGTTAGTGTCAGGTTGGAGTGTTAGGTTAGTGTTGTGTTGTGTGTTGTGTTGGGTTAGTGCTAGGTTAGTGTTAGGTTGTGTTGGTGTTAGGTTAGTGTTGGGTTAGTGTTGTGGTTAGTGTTAGGTTAGTGTTGTGTTGTGTGTTGTGTTAGTGTTAGTTAGGTTAGGTTAGTGTTAGGTTAGTGTTAGGTTAGGTTAGTGTTAGGTTAGTGTTAGGTTAGTTAGTTTAAGTTGGGGTGTTAGTTAGTGTTAGGTTAGTGTTAGGTTAGATTAGTGTTAGGTTAGTTAGTGTTAGGTTAGGTTAGTGTTGGGTTAGGTTAGTGCTAGGTTAGTGTTAGGGGTTAGTGTTAGGGTTAGGGTGTTAGGGTTAGGTTAGTGTTGGGTTAGTGTTAGGTTGTGGGTTAGTGTAGGTTAGGTTAGAAGGGTTAGTGTTGGAGCTAGTGTTGTTGGGTTAATGTTAGGTAGGTTAGTGTTAGGTTAGTGTTGGTGTTGGGGTTAGGTTAGGTTGTGTTGAGTGTTAGGTTAGTGTTGTGTTGGGTTGTGTTAGGTTAGTGTTGTGTTGGGGTGTTAGGTTAGTGTTGTGTTAGTGTTAGGTTAGTGTTGTGGGGTTAGTGTTAGGTTAGTGTTAGGTTGGTGTTAGGTTGGGTTAGTGTTAGGTTAGGTTAGTGTTAGGTTGTGTTTGTGTTAGGTTAGTGTTGGGTTAGTGTTAGTCAGTGTTGTTGTGTTGTGTTAGTGTTGTGTTAAGGTTAGTGTTAGGTTAGGTTAGTGTTAGGTTAGTGTTAGGTTAGTGTTAGGTTAGGTTAGTGTTAGGTTAGTGTTAGGTTAGTGTTAGGTTAGTGTTAGGTTAGGTGTTGAGTCCCCACCGCCATCTTGGACATTTAATTGACCATTGATATAAATGTTTAAATAAGATAAATTGGTTTACACACACACACACACACACACACACACACACACACACACACACACACACACACACGCACACACACACCCACACACACACACACACACACACACACACACACACACACGCACACACACACACACACACATACACACACACACACACACACACACACACACACACACACACACACACACACACACACACACACACACACACACGCACACACACACACACACACGCACACACACACACACACACACACGCACACGCACACACACACACACACACACACACACACACACACACACACACACACACACACACACACACACACACACACACACGCACACACACACCCACACCCATTATAATAAATCTCTCTGTTTGATAACTGACCGACAAACAGACAAACAGACAAACAGACAAACAGACAAACAACCACAATAACAAAATAAATCACAATAATATTTACATTTCATCAACACATTAAAAAAAACAATAATTGGCAACCTCATTATCCTCAGTTGCCAGAGACACTATTAAGTAAAGCTTAAAATCCAACACTAGCGACCCGTAATAGCGACCTAATTGACCTGCTTATCATTATGCTACGGTGACCTTTAATTAATTACTAAGTTCATTAACCTCTTTAAGCTTGCCTCACCTGAGATTAGGTAGTGAAGGTGTTAGTTAATTAGGGTAATCATCACACAGGTGCAACAGATAAGACAGAATTAGAGTTTGTTATGATTTTAGTGCAGGTGAAATGGTTGTCTCTCACCCACGCACACATCACTTCCCATCTCTGTCTGTCGTTTGTTCAGTCTAAATTGTCTGTTTGTCTGACTTCTTTTATTAAATGTTTTATAAAGGAAGTTTATTTTTTTCCTTACAGGTGAACCCGGCTGACAGTCCTACACACCATCACTGGATGAGGTATGTGAGAGAGAGAGAGAGAGAGAGAGAGTGAGAGCGAGTGAGAGAGAGACCCCAGGTGTAGAGATTCACTCAGATAATCAGAGACTATTAACACCTGTACACACACACACATCTCCTTCTCTCTCTCTCCTTCTCTCTCTCTCTCTCTCTCTCTCTCTCTCTCTCTCTCTCTCTCCCCCTCTCTCCCCCTGTCTACCCTCCCCCTCCCCCTCTCCCTTAGTGGCTTATTAGCTCCCCTCTCGTGGCTGATAATCCAATGTTCTCCCTTAGGATGACTGGCCTTGTGTTACTCTCCCTGCACTGCTACCTGTTAGGGAGACGGAGCTGGCTGAGGGAGAGAGGGAGGGGTGAAGGAGAGAGAGGGAGGGAGGAGGAAGGAAGAGGAAGAGGGAGGGAGGGAGGGAAGGAGAGGTCAGTTACAGGAAGGTCCATCGTAACGTGAAATTGAGTTACTGTTTCTACGTCATTCTCTCTCTCTCTCTCTCTCTCTCTCTCTCTCTCTCTCTCTCTCTCTCTCTCTTAGCCTAACAGGTATCAACTGGCTCCGGGCCTGACAAGATCTACATATAATTATCATAAATAATTCGCTAATTTGTCAATACCAGACGACATGACAACACAACACGTTCATAAGTTCTCAAAATATTACCCAGAATTCATTGTTTATGTTGTGGTGTAAACAGTAAGCGTTCATAAGTGCTCAAAATATTACCCAGAATTCATTGTTTATGTTGTGGTGTAAACAGTAAGCGTTCATAAGTGCTCAAAATATTACCCAGAATTCTTTGTTTATGTTGTGGTGTAAACAGTAAACGTTCATAAGTTCTCAAAATATTACCCAGAATTCATTGTTTATGTTGTGGCGTAAACAGTAAGCGTTCATAAGTGCTCAAAATATTACCCAGAATTCTTTGTTGATGTTGTGGTGTAAACAGTAAGCGTTCATAAGTGCTCAAAATATTACCCAGAATTCATTGTTGACATTAAGCGTTCATAATAGCCAGAAAGACTTTATTAACGAGAAGACAAATTTACTCACGAATATTAAAGCTCGCATTCGTAATACCGTGAAAAAAAAAATATTCTGAAAATATATGTAATTTATAAAAGAAAAAAAATATATATATTATAAATTTGTGTTTTTCGTTTAATATGTAAATTTTAAACCAGAGATGATGATGATAATGACGAAGAAGATAATGATGATGTATCTATAATTAACCAAACTAATTATAAAACGCCTATAAATCAACAATAAAAAAACTAACAAAAAAATAAATAAAAATCTCTGAAAAAAAAAAACTAAATTTCAGTATTTTTTTTAGAAGAGTAAATTTTTAAGGGGAAGAAATTAGTTGAGTTTAAGTAACGAGGAAGAATATTGGAGCCTGAGAACTTAATATGCAAATGGTGAACGAATCATTTGTTATCATAGATGGGGATGAGGGTGTTATCGTGGTGTAAGGTTATCATAGACAGACAGACATAGACAGAAACAGACAGACAGACAGAAACAGACATAGACAGAAACAGACATATAGACAGACTGACAGATAGACAGACAGACAGACAGACAGAAACAGACAGACAGACAGACGACAGAGAAACAAAATAGAAGCATCAGAACGACGAATATAGACGACAGACGAAACGACAGACAACAGACAGAAACAGACATAGCAGAAAACAGACAGAAGACAGACAGAGAAACAGAACAGACATACAGACAGACAGGAAGTGGTCTGGTCTTTAATTGAACGTATTTTTGTCGCAAATTTTTCAAAAAACGAAAATATTACGTTGAAGGAATGAACGATGGTGAGAGAGAGAGAGAGAGAGAGAGAGAGAGAGAGAGAGAGAGAGAGAGAGAGGGAAAAAAGCTACTCAGGCCTCATATTATTTTTTTTGGCTTGTTTACATAAGAAAATTTAACAATATTACAAAATAGTTTAAATTGTTTTCATACCTGAAGATGTTTGTGGGTCTACCCTACAGGTTGAGGGGAGGTGAGGGAGGGGTAGGTGGTGAGGGGAGGGTGGAGGAGGGGAGGGGTGAGGGGAGGGGTAGGTGGAGGAGGGGTGAGGTGAGGGGAGGTGGGGGAGGGAGGGGTGAGGGAGGGGTAGGTGAGGGAGGGTTGGTGGGGAGGAGGGTAGGGAGGAGGGCAGGAGAGGAGGGGTGAGGGGGGGTAGGTGGTAGGAGGGCAGGGAGGGGAGGGGGTGAGGGGAGGGGGTGAGGGAGGGGTAGGTGGAGGGAGGGTGAGAGGGGGAGGTGAGGGAGGGTGGGTGAGGGGAGGGCAGGAGGGGAGGGGAGGGGGGGGGAGGGGGGGGTGAGGGGAGGGGTGGGGAGGAGGGGGTGAGGGGTGGGGAGGGGGGGGAGGGGAGGGGTAGGGGGTGAGGGGAGGGAGAGGAGGAGGGGAGGGGTTGAGGGGAGGGGGGTGAGGGGAGGGGGTGGTGAGGGAGGCTGGGAGGAGGGGAGGGGATGAGGGGAGGGGTGAGGGGAGGGGTAGATGGTGAGGGGAGGGTTGGTGGAGGGGAGGGGTGAGGAGGGTTGGTGAGGAGGGAGGGGTGAGGGAGGATGAGGGGGAAGGGTGAGGAGATTTGGGAAGAGGAAGGGGAGGAGAAAAAGAAGGTGGGGAGGAATGTGGGAGGGGAGAGGGAGGGAGTGGGAGATAAGAGAGGAAAGGGAGAGAGTGAAAGAGAACAGGGAAGGAGAGAATGAGAGAGGAGGAAGAGGAAGGGTAATGAAGAGGAAGGAAGGAAGAAAGGAAGGAGGAGGAGAAGGAAGGAGGAGAGAAGGAAGGAGGAGAAGGAAGAAGGGAAAGGAAGGGGAGGGAGAGAAGGAAGGAAGGAAGGAAGGAAGGGAGGGAGAGAAGGAAGGAGGAGGAAGAAAGGAAGGAAGGAAGGAAGGAAGAGAAGGAAGGAAGGAAGGAAGGAAGGAAGGAAGGAAGAGAAGGAAGGAAGGAAGAAGATACAGTAACTATCCTTGTTTATTCTCTGTTTACTTGTTTGTTTATACCCCTGCAAACAAATATGGCGTCTTAATATTTTATGTACACTGTTTACACCACAATTTACACTCATTATACCTCGATTTACGTTCATTATACCACACCACGCTCATTATATTCACACCACGCTTCATTATACCACAATTCACGCTCATTATACCACAATTTACGTTCATTATACCTCGATTTACGTTCATATACCAATATTACACTCATTATAGCTCAATTTACACTCATTATACCACGATTTACGCCTTTATACCACGATTTACGTTTATTATACCTCGATTTACACATGCTAGGTGTGGCTGGGTTGAGGAGCAGGTCGACAGGTAACACACAGCCTGGAACAATTAAGATAAGGCTGACCTCTGTGGTGCTGTTAACACCTGGAATTTAAACACTTGGAGACTGTGTGTGTGTGTGTGTGTGTGTGTGTGTGTGTGTGTGTGTGTGTGTGTGTGTGTCCAACTGTATGTTAGAGATGAAAGCCCGTTATATCGAGGTTCCATTACATACGACCCCTTCCACTTAACGGATTATATATAGAGAAGTCCGTTAGATGTTCGTTATACAGAGGGTCCACTATACAGGAGGCGATACGTCGCCTCTCCTCGACAGCTACTGTAAGAGGCGGGAACAATGGCCGCCCTGACTTAATTCCTTCCTGATATATACAGCAGCAGACGCCATCAATATCACCGAGGTCATATATTGGTTATATTTTACCTCTACCTTCCCACCCTCTGCCCCCCCTGCCTCCTCACCCTCCTCACCTCCCATTCTAATCTCAAAAAATCATGAATCAAAGAAGAAATATTTACCCCGAAGAAGATAATTTTTCGATCGAATGTCAACAGAGCTGGTGTCCGAATTCGTTCATCCACTGTTATTAAAATACTATTAAATATATCCCCATCAAATATAAATCTATATATATTTATCCTAACATCAATTTATATATTTTTGTGTATAATTTGTGTAGATAATGTATATAGAGTTTAATACATGATAATATATAATGGGTTCCGTGGGACGTCTCAGCACACGAACACTTTATCAGCTGATCTTGTCAACACCGCCATCTTGAATGTTGTTTATTTTATCGTGAGGATTTTGTTTCTTGTTTACTATAAAAATGTCACCGTAAGTTGTAGTGATGATGGAAGCTTTAATATACTGTACGATAGAATAGGTTTATTATTATTATTATTGTTGTTGTTGTAGTGAAATTTTATACGATATGACCCTAGAGATTATAATAGTTAATGTGGGTTTGTTCAGGTGATGTTTGGATAGTATTCTCCTCCATACTGCCTCTCCTCCACTCTCTCATCTCTCTTCTCATCACACTTCCCTATTTCTTCCTTCTCACACCTCTCCTCCTCTCCCTCCTTTCTCCTCTTAATTTCCTTTCTCTTTCTCTCCTCCCACTTTTCCTACCTCCTCCTCCCTCTCCTCCTCCCCCACTCTCTCCCCAGTATAAAATGAACATCTGTCGCCTCTGTTATTTCAACCCAGCGTTTTGTATTAACCACAGGCTCTTGTTCATAAACTCCAACACGTGATATGTCCTCGAACAACAACAACAATAACAACAACAACAGATATTCATTACCTGTCTTAATCAGTTTTATATTTACTCACTGGCAACTCTGGTGCCTCCATCACATCCACATCTGTAGCAAATTGACCCTGAGGCTAGTGTGTGTGTGTGTGTGTGTGTGTGTGTGTGTGTGTGTGTGTGTGTGTGTGTGTGTGTGTGTGTGTGTGTGTGTGTGTGTGTGTGTGTGATATATTTATTTGTTTGTGTCTGTTTGTGTGTGTTTTTCCTTCCTTCCATCCTTCCCTTCCTTCTTCCTCTTCCTCTTCCATTCCTCCCCTTCCTTCCTTCCATCCTTCCTTCCTCCCCTTCCTTCCTTCCTTCCTTCCTTCCTTCCATTCCTCCCCTTTCCTTCCTTCCTTCCTTCCATCCTTCCTTCCTTCCTCCTTCCTTCCTTCCATTCCTTCCTTCCTTCCTTCCTTCCTTCCCTTCCTTCTCCTTCCATCCTTCCTTCCTCCCCCTTCCTTCCTTCCTTCCATTCCTCCCCCTTCCTTCTTCTTTCTATCCCATTTTACTTTCCTTTTTCTTCTCCGCTTTCTCCTCTTCTTCCTCTTCCTCCTTCCTCCTCCTCCTCCTCCTCCTCCTCCTCTTCACCAGGACCTCTTTATCAAGCTAGTATCGGAGAACGACTCAATAGCTGCACACACACACACAATAGCACTTCATATACTATTGTTCCACACACACACACACACACACACACACACCACACACACACACACACACACACACACACACATTCTGCTGTTTCTTGTCGTTGTTATTGCTGTGTACGTTCGTCTGTCTGTCTGTCTATCGTTTTCTCCACACACACATTCTCTCTCTCTCGTTTCCGTCCATCCATCCTTTGCTGAGAGAGAGAGAGAGAGAGAGCTGGGTGTAGCCCGGAGGGTCGCTATATACAACTGGATATTAATTACCGGTTCAAGCATTAACTGACTTACAATGTGGCGAAGGGGGTGTGTAGCTCTCTCTCTCTCTCTCTCTCTCTCTCTCTCTCTCTCTCTCTCTCTCTCTCTCTCAATTCCGAGCACACACACTCATTCTCTTTCTCTCTCTCTCTCTTTCTCTCTCCTTTCTCTTTTTGGTTTTATTTATCAAGATATAAACGCCAGAAAAAAATTGCCGGGAAAAATATCGTGAATTTTTTTTCAGGGACGTGAAAGCTAATCAGGATTCCCACACACTCGCCTGTTAATACTGTTCGAAAAACTACCCAAAATACAACCTGTCACTCAATCCACGGGTGTAATTGTGTGTTGTAAGCATGTAATATGGTATAGGTTGTATGTGTGTCGTGGGATAAAGTGGGTATTTATTTTTTTTTCTCTCAATAATACTAAGCCGAAGCTGTGGACTGATACCTCGAGCATATGTTCGGACGAGGTGATCAGCTGGGTGGGGGTTTTTGGCGGGAAATTCGTGTTTTGTTTACATTTTTTGGCGGAAATTCGTGTTTTGTTTACATTTTGGCGGGAAATTCGTTTTTACACCTTTTGGCGGAAATTCGTGTTTTGTTTACTTATTTTTGGCGGGAAATTCATGTTTTTATATATTTGTAATATTTTGGTGTTTTTCCTAAGGTTTGTTTTTATATATGTTTATAAAGTGTTTTTGTTCTCATGTATACATTATGTAATACGGTCACATATCTACACACACAGAGATATACTTACATACATCAGCATTTACACACACACACACACACACACACACACACACAGGATATGAGTCTAGTCCAGGTAAATGTAACAGCTAATCTTTGTTTACATGACATCAGCTGATCGTTCACAACACACCTGTAATTACGCCTCCCCCCCTCCTCCCTTCTACTCCCGGACACCTGTTTGTGGGGGGACTCTCTCTCTCTCTCTCTCTCTCTCTCTCTCTCTCTCTCTCTCTCTCTCTCTCTCTCTCTCTCTCTCTCTCTCTCTCTTTTCTTCCTTTACTTTTTAGGTTAGGTTAGGATCAACATTAAAAAATTGTTAAATGCAAAAACAAACACATCAGAAAGAACAACAACAACAACAACAACAACAACAACAACAACATCTCATAAAACGGTGATATTAAAAGTTTCAACTTAGAATTTTGTATTGAAAAACTTGTTAAAAATTTGTAGACCGATCACACACACACACACACACACACACACACACACACACACACACACACACACCACACACACACACACCAGACACACACACACACACACACACACACACACACACACACACACACACACACAGACACACACACACACACACACACACACACACACACACTAACCATTACCTTCTAACTTTCCATCTTCCTTCCCTCTTCACCTTCCTCTTCTTCCTCCTCTCCCTCTCCCTCTCCCTCTCCCTCTCCCTCTCACTCCTCCTCTCCCTCTCCTCTCCTCTCCTCTCCCTCTCACTTGGATCTCCGCCACTACACTTCACTTTGATCTTCTGACCTCTCTCTCTCTCTCTCTCTCTCTCTCTCTCATTCACTTTTAGTCTTATCTTGAAGACAAAAGCATATTATCAGAGTACGGAGGGAGGAGAAATGAGAGTGGAGAATGCCCTCCCACTCAAGACTCTCTCTCTCTCTCTCTCTCCAAGTGAAACAGCAGTCACCCACCCATATATAAGGGTTATTTAAGTACCTACTTTTGAAAATCATACCAATACTCAAAGCACACTTATAAAACACTTACTCAACACTTATACCACAGGATGTTACTTAAATGGTGTGTGTGTGTGTGTGTGTGTGTGTGTGTGTGTGTGTGTGTGTGTGTGTGTGTGTGTGTGTGTGTGTGTGTGTGTGTGTGTGTGTGTGTGTGTGTGTGTGTGTGTGTGTGTTACGTTATGTATTCAAATTACTTGAACAAAACTCTTGAACAACAAACCAATAATTTGTTTCGCCTCGACCTACTTATTCCTCTCTCTCTCTCTCTCTCTCTCTCTCTCTCTCTCTCTCTCTCCTCTCCCTCTCTCTCTCTCTCTCCTCCTCTTCCATTGTTTAGTATTGTCTCACTTTGGTTTTTGTAAAAGAGTTGAGGACATATTGAGATTATCGAGTGTATCTGTCTGTCTGTCTCTCTGTTTGTCTGTTTTTTATATTTTTCTTTCTCTTGTTGTTGATGTTTTTATTATTATTATTATTATTATCATTATTATTATTATTATTATTATTATTATTCTTTTTGCCGTCGTCATTACCACTAATACAGTGGCTGATTGGATCCTTCCCCCTTAGTGACGTCACAGATGCTGCCTGATTGGTTAATTTGGTTATCATCATACATGCATACAGTGCGTGTATTAGTGCACACTCACATACATGCATACATACATACACACACATACATACATAAATACATACATACATTTACCCTAACCGTCCACCACCTCTCTCTCTCTCTCCCCTCTGTCCCTCTCATCTTTCTTCCTCTCCCTCTTTCTCCATCACTCTTCCCCCCCTCTCCACCTCCATCTTTCTTCCTCCCGTGATCTCAGTCCGTGTGAGAGGTGATGGCTGTACATTGTTAGAATCCTTCACAGGTACAGGGGCCCCATCCATCTTGTTTACATCTCAGACCCTGTGAAAATACCGCCATTTGGAAGGGTATATATTCACAGTGACTAGGTACCCTGAGTCTCAAAGGTTCCTACGTTAACGTTTTCCTCCTAACTGGTGATGTGAGATGTATATAAACACAGTAAACACCTCAGACTAATGTTTATCTATCTACATTAGTTACCCTTCACAATGGTCCACCAACCAAAATATTTTATAATAACATTAATTAACATTAATCTTCCTCTTATATATAATAAATATTCATCACATAATTTTATAATAATAAATTTATACAGTAATAAATAATAAACATTTATTAAGTGGAGAAAAAGGTTCTTATTTACATATAAACTCGTACGTGTTACTTTATGGCGAGTTACAATAAGTCACATAAATTGTTAACACTACATAACGCAATACATTACATAACAGAAATTCATATTTAATGTCCAATTGGACTCTTACTTTCACTTTATCTGTTAGTCTTTGTTATTAAGGAATATATACATCGTTGTACTGTACACCAACACCGTGTTTACCGTTACCGTGGAAGATTAATGTTATTATAAAATATTTGGGTTGGTGGTCCATTGTGAAGGATGACTAATGTAATATATATATATATATATATATATATATATATATATATATATATATATATATATATATATATATATATATATATA